GTTATATTTTAACTGGGGAGGGGGATGGAGTGGGGAGAGGAGGGGGAGGGGGCAGGGCGGGGGCGGGAGGGGGTGGGGCGCGCGCAGCGCGCCGTGCTAAACGCGCTTGCAACTTACGTGTTTAAGTCCATCATTTTTATCGAAAACTGTCACTCGTATAGTAAAAATGAATAGGACATAAAATGTATATTTTAAAGAGATCTACAACTTTTGTTTAAAACATTTTTCAAAATTTTTAATATTTGTGTCTGAAAATTACATATAATTGGTTGACATTGTTTTTTTAATAACTTTTTAATAAACAACGAGCGCCGGCTAAATCCTTCTGAGGGTTACTCAGGAGGGTGACCTCTATAATATATGTCAAGCCCAAGGTTATTGAAGGTGGGTGTGTTAATGTAAATAATTACCGTGATATTTCACATGATGTTAGCGGAACATCAATAGTAATATGTCGAAGCTTGATAATAAGTTTAGACAGCAGATTGCTAACCGAAATCGAGCAGATCGTGCTCACGCAACGTGATGATCGATTGCAGTAGAAACCAAGCAGAATCTGTTGACATAACTTGTTGGCAAAGTGAGGTAGAGGAAGAGGAGGAAGAGTAGAGGGAGAGGAGAAGAGGAAGAGCGAGGAAGAGAGGGAGGAGAAGAGGGGGGAGAGGAAGGGAGAGATAGGAGAGAGAGGGAGAGGAAAATAGAAAGAAAGGTAGAAAAGGGGGAGAGAGGATCTCATCAATATCAAAGTACCTAGTCAGCAAATTGTCAGCAGATTGGCAGCAGATTCCATCGGAAACCCACATCGAAACCATAGCCATCTTAATCCGAATTTGGCTCTTGTTTTGGCAGCATAGTCTGTAAAACATACGCTGTCAACAGATTGTCAGCAGAAACCGAGCAGCATCTGCGTGGCGTAGTTCGACAGCAGATTGATGACAGAAACTGAGCAGAATTGCTGTTCTATTTTTGTCTTTTTCGTTCCTTTCATACACATATTACAAAAATGTATAAAACTAATAAGTAGTAAGGTCTCCTGTAAGATTTCTATCTACACACTCGTAGATAAGAGAGTTTACTTCAGTACTATTTTTGTATATGTGTATATTATTTTGTAATTAGGATTAATCGGAAGGTAGGATGTAGACCAAAGAATATCACGGGGATTCTTTAGTATATAACTTGACGGTTACGTTTATTGCAGAGAGATACAAAAACTGCTAGAGTGAGAGGGAGGGAGTGTGTTCCCAAAAGCACACAGTTTCGTCCAACGGAAAAAGAAGTAAAACAAAAAATAAAAAGGTACTAAAGTATTCATACATAACATTCTTCCCTCCTCTAGGATTTCGTTACATAAATTTAGAACGTAATTAATTTTGACTCGGTGTATAACGCTGTGGCGGACGACAAATACGTGTTGATCGTCGTAGCGTTTAAGGTGAAGCGTCGACTTGCTAAGGGGACCCTTGTGTCACGCGTGCTTCAGGAGTTTCCCTTGGTGTTGCTGGTCTTCTCGGTTGCATTGGAGTTGATGCTGCAAATATCCCTGACTGATTTGGGGTTCACGGAGCTGTCGTAAATAAGCTTGAGTTGTCAACCACGGAGTTATCATAAAAGCGGATTCTCCGAGGGCGAACTGCTTCTTTCTCGTCTCGTTCAGCGTTATCAGATTCCAAGACTCCGGTATTTTCAAGATGTGTTCGTATCTGGTCTATGTGGCGCTTGACACGTTTACCCTGCTGATCAATTTCGTAGTGCAGATCCCCCAATCGAGTGACAATTCTTCCTGCTATCCACTTTTCCATATGTGGGTTACCAGAAAGAAAATAGGCTGCTTGCTCTGGATCAAAATTGCGAAACGATGCATTAAATTTAACTTGTTGTTTTTCTCTGATTTTGGATTGCATAACATCAGGCCGGACAAGATCGATTCTCGTGCGAATATTCCGTCCTAGGAAAAGTAATGAGGCCGGCTGACCTGTAGTTGAATGCGGAGCCTTTCGATACTGACGGAGAAACTCATTTACATTTCGCTGGAGTGAACTTCGTGTTGTAGACATAGCATTAAGTGCGTCCTTGACTGTTTGGACGTATCGCTCGGCTTGGCCGTTCGTTGCTGGGTAATATGGTGCCGTTAGTTTATGGAACTTAACGCCGGTAGTTTGTAAGAATGTCTTGAATTCAGCAGCTGTGAATTGCGGGCCGTTATCCGAAACAATGATGACCGGAACTCCATGGGCCGCAAACAATTTATCCAGGATAGCAATCGTTGATGAAGTAGTTGTTGAATTGGTTATTTTTACTTCAATCCACTTGCTATAGGCATCAACTATAACCAATAGCATCATGCCTGCTACGGGGCCTGCGTAGTCGATATGTACTCGCTCCCATGGTCCCTTGGGGTACTCCCAATGATGGTTACGAAATTTTTGTGGGGCATGTGCATGCCTAGCGCAATCCTTGCATGACTTGGCTACTTACTCAATGTCCGCGTCGATACCCGGCCAGTATACAAAAGACCGTGCGATGCCCTTCATTTTGATTATGCCCACATACGCTGCATGTAGATCGTCGAGGATTGGTTGCCGGAGTGAAGCTGGTACTACTATTCGATGCTCGAACATCAAACAATTAGCAGCCAATGTATAGTTGACTTCCGGGGCTTTGTAATTTAAATGGATTAGATTCTGACCCGTTTCCAGTAGTTGAACTATCTTTCCTAAGTGTGGATCTTTTCGTGTTTCTCGAGCAATATATTCGGCGCGAACTGGTAGTTGTCTCAACTGGCAGAAAATGAATTCGTCAAACTCATCATGTATCCTTTCTTTCTCCTTCCTCGCCGTAACACAATGCATCTCTTCTGTTGTTGACAGGGGTGTGCGAAAGCAGTAATCCGCATTAGCATTTAGTTTTGTTGGCTTAAACATTACATTATAATTAAAGTGTGCGAGGTAATCAGCGTAATTTGCCATACGACTAATGCATAGCACAGGAAGGGATTTTTCTGGGTGTAAGATCTGCATAAGTGGTTTGTGGTCCGAAATCAGCGTGAAATGACGTGCATACAAGTAATGGAAGACTTTTTGTACCAAACTATTGCTAACGCTTCCTTGTCAATTTGAGGGTAGCGTTGTTCTGTACTGCTCATCGTACGGCTGGCATAAGCAATTGGTCGTTCTTCTCTGTTACTTAATCGATGTGATAGGACTGCACCTAATCCTGTTTTGCTAGCATCGATTGCCAACAGTAGAGGGAGTGAAGGGTCATACGGTATGAGAACTTGCGGCGAAATCAAAATATTTTTGATCTCCCTGTATGCTATCTCAGCGTTTCTCGTCCATACGAAAGATTCGTCGAGCAGCATGTCCCGAAGTAGTCGTTCCTTAGTTGT